GATATGTGAAATTAAGGTTAGTAAGTCTGTGGTTATGTTTCTCTAACATAACGAAGATTCGTATAATTATTTAAACTAGTTAATATAAAATTAATAAAATTTAACATTAGTTTTATATGTGGTACAATAAACCCTAATTATAAAAAGGGCAAGACAACTACGCGAAAGCGTTCAGTGACACCAAATTTTTTGCAATAATAAGATGATTGGCGGTTATGCGAATAATCTTTAGAAATATGTGGAATTATGAGAAAAAAATAAACAAAATGACTCTCTTATTCTTAAAAAAATACTCAAAATGATATTACCACTGTATCGGTATATCATCATCTTCATCTTCACTCTCATTATCAACCATCATTTTTATAAAAAGAATAACAAATTAGAAAAGAACTAGAAACTCTGATACCATATAGAAATTTGCGGAATAATATTTTTATTGATAATCAAAATAACATATAAATAGATGAGAGTTTTAGATTGAATCAGTAAAATAGCTATAATAATAAATATTTCTAAATATATATTTTCCGGATTTGATAAGAACTTCATTATACGATATATCTCGTAATATTCTTCAAGATCCGATATATCTCAACACTGTTGAGTGGGGTTTGGGAAAGGCCCCACCACATAGGTGTACTGTAGACAAACCTTACCTTGCAGATATTTTTCAAGAGTCTGCTTCCAAGACTCGAATCTGTGACCTCTAAATAACAACAACAACACTTTAACCGGTGTGTCAAGACTCCCCTTCACAATAAGCCCTAATTATAATTATCTTTTTTTTTTCGTTATGGTATTATTGTTTCAATAATAATTTATCCTTTGAATCCATCGAAGATTATATTGAATGTTTGATGGGATTTTTTTTGGTAGATAACCATATTAGGAAAGGGTGGCCCTCAAGCCCATCAAAATGCTATTTAAAAAAAAATTTAAATAAAGGTGTGGCGAAAATGGTTTACCATAAATGGGATGAGGTGCATGAACATGGAAGACATAGTTTGAATGTTATTTTGGAATTTGACGCACATGGCTTGTTCTCATTTGGATGCGCATCTCACTTGCACCATATCCATTCTTTCTCCATCTTTGTCATTTCCCATACATACATACATACATACATACATACATGCATACATACATACATACATACATACATACATACATACATACATACATACACACACACACACATTAATGTAAAATACAAGAGGGGACAACATTTATGTGACACTTGATAAGTGGAAAACATGTATATTTGGATGAAGGTTTAATACATACATACATACATACATACATACATACATACATACATACATACATACACACACACACACATTAATGTAAAATACAAGAGGGGACAACATTTATGTGACACTTGATAAGTGGAAAACATGTATATTTGGATGAAGGTTTAAACATCTCGTGTATCGCCTACTTCACAATATTTATAATAAAAAATCTTCGATTTGATCATTCCATTTTGTTTCTTTGCAGAATTTGACTTTTTTTAAAATAAAAAAAATATATGGATAAACGTATTATTTAATTGTAACGATTTTAGTGTATAATTACTCATACATAATTCCTTTAGCGGTATAGAAAACCTCTGGCTTAAATATTAAAAAAATATTTTGTAATTCGATAAATAAATAAAGGAGCATCATGATTAGAACAATGTATTACATGAAAAAACATTCAAAATCTCTGATGTAGCAAATAAATGGAATGTGATAACAGTGAAAAAATACAATAGAATATGACACGTAAATCATATATTTGTAGAAACTATTCCAAACACCTTTTTATAAAAAAAAATTATTTTTTATTCGTATTTGAATATACATACTGATACACACATCTATATGTAGGTATCTATATATATATATATATATAGATTATAAATTTTAGTCCAACATGGTTACGTAAGGTACACAATTAGAAGCCCCGGGGAAGATGCTCTCTAAACAGATATGCGTGTCATCATCGAACGTCAGTTTTCGATATGAATGAACATAAAGCCACACTTCATGTACTAATTATAAGATTACATATTCTGTCCAAAATAGATTTTCGCTATCTATAGGTTGAGAATTCAAGGAAATAAAAAACCGAAAAGAACGGATACATATATATCTATATATATGCATGTGTATAGTTAGAGTATAACTTATAAATTATAAAGAAAAACAAAAATAGACGGTTGAAATAGAGTTTATGGTTACCTAAGGATCTTCGCATCAAGCGTTCGAATCTCACATTGGGGAGCTGGTGTAGCTGGTTTGAGAGGGTGGTAGACGGCCCCCTGTCCTAGGTCCCATACTCGAGCCACGGGGTGGAGGGTGAGGCGTGGTTAGATACATTTTAAAAGGCTGTTTCCAGATTCACGGAGACGTAGTTTGGGCCGAAGCCCAGATGAACCTCTCCGTTTAAAAAAAAAGAGTTTATGGTTATTTTTATTTTATTTTGTCCTACTAAATTACGTAATTTATTACGGATATGTTCATAACAGCATGGAGTTTTGGCGTAAGTAAAACTTATTATTTAACCATATGTTTAGCATATATCAAATATATAAATTTTCACCAAAAAAAATGTATAAATATATGGTCTATTTAAATTTGATGGTTGCAATTGTGAATTTTGATATATGTGGACGCAGTATTCATTTGTGAAAGAATAAATTTTCTTTATGTTGATTAAAAGAATTCGATTCAGATGAAATTTTTTGGGCCAGCTTTATGCTCTGCAAGTGCCAACTCCTCAAGGAAAAAAGAAGATGGAATTTTGTTTACAGAATCTGATAGAGATGGATCACTTGTGTGTATATATATATATATATATATATATATATATATTTTATGAATACAATACTTAAAATTATTACTTTTACATTACTGCATGTATCAAATAGTTTAAGAACTTTTAATTCTTGATATTATATCAACTCATTATGAATTCAATATTTTATATTTCCCATATTATTTTGTTGTCTTGCGATTATTATTACATGCATCCAATTACCAATTTGTCTACTTACTCAAACCCCTAAAGAAAAAAAAAGAAATGTATTTTCTAATGCCTTATGATGTGATTTTTCATAGCAACCCACTATCGATATATTCATGCATATGTGCATATAGATATGTATATGTTCATAAAATTCGTGTATATATATATATATATATATATATATATGCGAGCGTGCTTTTCATGAAGTTATAAAACATTAACATCATAAACTCGTTCATCTTTCTAGAGAACCCTATTCTCTTCTTTTTGGGGGAAATAAAAGAAATTATTCTAAAAATAAATTGAGTTTCTACATATACATGTTCAAAAACCTCAATCCGACCAAAATAAAAAAATAAAAAAAGAGAGTATAATTGTCCATTTAATAAAAAAACATAATCCGTAATACTCACCCATTCCGTAGATGCTTCTAATAAGTTATACATCGTATCATACTTACATATTAAGGGTGTTGGATTATTTTGTGTTCGGAATTTCAAAATTCAGATTTCATTTCGAATTAAACTTTTTCATTTTTATTAAAAAATACTGTTTTCCCAAAAATAATTTCCACATTATTAACTTTTAACTATACGTTTATTCGACATAAATCTATTTTAGAATAATTTGAGTTGATTTATAGAAACTGACATTCAATTATTTTTTTTAAATTGGATTTGGTGTATATATAAATCCAAATAGTAAAACGTGTTATTTTTTTAAAAACGAATGTTGTGACATGAGATTCTAATTTTGATGGTTTCCATAAAAATTTAAAGTAATGTGAACTACTAATTAAGTTAACCACAATCACTTTTTGTGTCGTGGAACTAATTATTTCCAACAGCGAGCAATCGATTGTTTGGAATTGTGTGCTCCCTTCTCATCATTGTTCCCTTTCGCACGTGCACGAAATTCGCGGCACGTGCACGTGTGCATTTTATATAAAATGAGTTCTCAAGTGAATTCCGGAACGCATTTTATATTTTGAGCGATTAACATCATTGTAGGAATAAAGTAAATTGCTTTTTATTTTTATTTTTCCCAAAGTAAAATGATATTTTATTTGTTCTTTAGCTTCTGCAGGCTTTTTAGGCTTTGTAGTCATTATTATATTCCCATTTCTTTTTTTCCAATTTTTTTTTGCTCTTTTGTATTTTTATTTTTTTTACAGTTCTTATATATTACACGTATTTTTTACAGTTCTTATATATTACCGCTTCCATCCATTCCAATATTCGAAAAAAATTTAATTTCAGTTATATTCATTCGATTTTTATATAAGCAAGAATCGGTTCATTTTACATATTGATTTTGATTTATTTTTAATTCAAAGAAATACTTACGTTACACAGAATTTTTCTTTTCTTTTCTTGGCACTATTTGGTAGTTACCGTTTAATTTAATATAAAAAAATGATATCCAATTGGTTTTAGATAAAATTCGGTTTGGATATAATTTTATATATCGAACTGAAGTGGGTTTTTATATTCTAAATCAATTCTTTAATAGTAAACTCTCCAGTAAGTGTAGCATTAAAGGCAAAATGCATGAAATAATTGTAGAAATCAATGATGATGGAGAGATCATATCTTATAGTTGGAGATTCTTTAGCATGTACAGACAAATCAGTGGATTTGGACTGACAGTTTGTGTGTCTAATTACTATGTTTGTTTACTTAGAACTTACGAACCATATTTAATTGAATCAAAATTATAATCCATGATGATTAACGGTGGTGAATCATATTGTCTCGTACAAAAAATGTGGAAGCTATTAAAGATTAATATTTTTATTTTAAAATTTTTATGTTCAAACGACTTTTGAAACCATCGTTGTGTAATGTATAATATGATTTCAACTTTTAAACTAATATTTTTTATTATTCCATAGAGGCTTTTTAAATGCTAGGGCGAATTTACTATACGGATATAATACAGGCCATAAATAGCCCAATAGTTATATAAATGGGCCTTAACCCGTGCATATGGGCCTTTTAACATATTTTGATTTAATCGGATATAACAAATTATATATGTCCACAAAAAAGATTACAATCATTGTTTCTCTCACATGAACAATATCATATGCTTATTATTTAGCACCCGAATCGTTATAGTTCTGATTTTTTTTTTATATGTTAACACTGAGATCTACATTTTTTCTTTATTTCTTTCTTTCTTACACCCTTTTTTCTAATATATATATATATAAACAAAGGGTGCATCCCCACCGTTGATCAAGACCGACGACATACACATCAATCCAACGTTCTAGTCACCGTGTTTCAGTAAAGATCGAGAACGTCAAGGATCAGACGGTTGCAAAGCGGACACGTGCCACGGTCCAACCATATCTTTCGGGAACATACTCTACAGTACGTATGCCCGCAGGGGATCAATGCCGCGCCCTTCTCCCTTCCCATGCACACGCAGCACACCCGATCACACCCCAACCACGTCGAATCACAGCCGTCCGATTCCGCCATCAGGCTCATCAACGGCACCTTCTTCGCCGCCGCCGTCATCTCCGTCACGCTCTCCTCAAGCGCCTGTCGCTCCGCCGCAAGAGCCTCCGCGAGGTTCGAAATTCCACGTGTCAAATAGCCCGAATCCGAACCCGGATCTGGATCCGAAAAGTCAACGACCCGGTAGTTGTCGTCTTCTTCCACGGCGATTGTAATCGGTCGGAGACTCCAAGAGGGTACACCACAACAGCAGCTCACGCCTCTCAATCTCAGCCGTCGCTTCAGCGCTCTCCACTTGCTACTCGCTCGATCTCCGCCGTCGGATCGGTCTTCGAGCAAACCCAGAATTACAGTTCTCCCACTTCCTGTTCTGTCGGATGTTTCCCTGAGCAAGTCACCGAGTTGACTCATCTCGACCCGAACCCAGAAACCCAAAAACCCGGAAACCGACAAAAGGTAATTCCTTTGGAAATTTTCTCCTTCAGAACTATGACAATGAAATCCTTGAAGCACACGAGAAACGGGAAGAGATAAAGAGCTCCGATTGCAGAAGGTAGTGAATGCAGGCACCTTGGTTTCGGATTCCTAATGTCGATCTTTTATTTGGGAATTTACTCACATGACCCACTTTCATCGCACCTATTTCACGCGTACACCAGAAAAAACATAACATTTTTTTTTAAAAGACGAAATTATCCTTAATGAATACACGATTTTTATCCGTTCGAAAACAACTTCGTTATTACGATTTCATAATTAATTCTAAATATAGTTATAATTGATTCTAAAAAAGGTGGCAAAAAAATCATCTGTCTTATTTTAGTCGTAATAAAGTCGCAAAAAATAAAACGAAAAGGGTATTTCGGACTTTTTCAACCGAAAAGTGGGTTAAAATTGAAAAAAAAAAAAAAAATTCTACGCTGAAATAGGTGCGACCCAACTGGGTTATTTGAGTAAAATTCCCCTTTTATTTGGACACAAGTCTTTGACATAATTATTTGGATTTGCTTTATTTGTTATAAGATTGAGAAAATGACAAAAATGGGATTTGAAAGAAAGGGTACGATAGAGGGTACCACTCATCAACGACGTATTGACTTCACGTTTGCCACCGCCCGCAGATGTCATTTTACCGTTCCTTTTAATGTTAAATTAAACATCATTTCTTATTTTAAATTTGTTTTTACGTTTTAAATAAAATATGCATAACGTTCTTACATAAATGTGGTGTATATTGAGGTCGAAGGCCAAAGGGCCCATAAAATTCAAATAGGCCTTTCAAAAATGGGCTTTGGCCCATTATCACCAAACAGAGCGCGAACCACCCCCACCTACTCGTAAAACGACACACAGTGTCGACGTTTATCTATCAATTCCCCAAAATACCCTTTTTTTAAATGTCGTGACCTTTATACCCTTTGGTTCACAGCGTATTTATACTCACCAACCACATTCTAGGCATTGTAGTGGTGAAACACTGACGCGGACAGCACGAGGGAAGTTAGGTTTGAACAGAGTGAAGAAACCGAGGAATGGCTCCTGCTATTGCCGTCGTCAACCGTGATCTCGCCGCCGGAGCGCCGGCGAACGCTCCAGCGACTGGTCGCGCCTCGGTGTATAGCGAGGTTCAGTCGTGCCGCATCAACCATGCGCTTCCTCTGCCTTCTGTGCTCAGAGATCCTTTCAAAATCGTCGATGGGCCACCTAGCTCCGCCGCGGGAAATCCAGGTCAGCGTTGTCGTTCTACTTCTCCACCTGACTACGGTTTTCGTTTGATTTGTTGGCGTATTTTGCATGCCTGATCTGGTAGTACTCTAGATCCTGTTTGTTTGCTGAGAAAAATGATGCTTTGGAACCAAATCTAGATGCATTGATAAGTTTGGATTGTCCCTATACGTAGTAAGTTAACGGATTGATTCGATAAATTGGCAATGTGTCTTCAAATTCAGTGGATTATCTGATAGATCTGTGTGATGTCGACGATGGAGGGTTTTGAGGATTTATTGCGTACTTGTTTATGCTTGCAGATGAGATAGCGAAGTTGTTTCCTTGCCTTTTTGGTCAACCATCTGTATCCCTGGTTTCGGATCAGAATGCTTTGTCAGGTCAGAAACTGAAGATAGGTGTTGTTTTGTCTGGAGGTCAGGCACCCGGCGGGCACAATGTCATTTCTGGACTGTTCGGTAATGATCTAAAACACCCTCTTGTGTGCTTGACGGTCCTCTCCATGGCATTCTTCATGAAACTGATACTGATTTTGATTTGATTTGTTTCCTGTTGGTAGATTACTTGCAGGACCGTGCCAATGGGAGCACATTGTATGGATTCAGGGGTGGTCCGGCTGGTATTATGAAATGCAAATATGTTGAGTTAACTTCAGACTATATCTATCCTTACAGGAACCAGGTATAATATAACTAGTGTACTATTTATGAATCCTCCTGACAAGCTTGTCATTGTCATTGATTTGGATTTTATAAGTTAGTGTCATATTTTGTCTTCATTCAATTAGGAAAATCACCATTTCAGATTAATGATCTTCATCAAGCAAAGGACATAGAGCAAAGAACATATGTTGATCGCGATATGCTTTGTTTTGGTTCTTGTCGTTGACTCACCTTTTTGGCATTGACAGGGTGGTTTTGACATGATATGCAGTGGGAGAGACAAGATTGAAACCCCTGAACAGGTTTTTTTGTTGTATTTTCTCAAGGATTATGTGCATGTTTCCAGAATTTCATCAGGAGATAGTGGTTAATTAAATTGTGGTTCTACTTGCAGTTCAAGCAAGCCGAAGAAACAGCTAACAAGCTGGATTTGGATGGATTAGTTGTCATTGGCGGAGATGACTCCAACACCAATGCTTGCCTCCTTGCTGAAAACTTCAGGTAAATCTGGCGGTCATTGGTTTTGAGCTGCTCATTCATTTTTGTGGCAAAAACTTTCCTATCCTTGTGGAAATTTTCTTGCCTGCGTTTATGTTTCACCGATTGATCTCATTTATATACTTCTGTTCAGGAGTAAGAACATGAAAACCCGAGTCATCGGGTGCCCCAAGACAATTGATGGTGATTTGAAAAGCAAAGAGGTTCCTACAAGTTTTGGATTTGACACAGCTTGTAAGGTTAGTCAGGGGGTTCGGGATTTGAAGTTTCCGTATGTCCCAAGAGATTTTGATTGTCCTCATTCCTGAGAAACAATGTACTCATTCTCTAAAGTTTGTGATTTTGCAAATTAATCGTATGCTGCTCTATTCTTCATCAAGAAGCTATTGTATGTTCTACTACTAGCATGGTGCAAGTGACATTTGGATGTTTGAATGGAAGAAAAAAGAAGTAAACTTATGTTCTGTCATGCTTATGCAGATATATTCCGAAATGATTGGAAATGTAATGATTGACGCGAGATCAACAGGAAAATACTATCACTGTAAGCGATTGTGCTACAGAAACTCATGAAATTGAATTGCTTGAGTTATTTTCTCTCTATTTTACTGATCAGCGCCATCAATTTTGTCTCACTTTATGCTTTTGCAGTCGTTAGACTTATGGGCCGTGCTGCTTCTCACATTACACTTGAATGCGCATTACAAACTCACCCAAACATTACCGTAATCGGAGAAGAGGTATGTTCCTCAGGATAGCATTTTTTGTTACATATGCATGAAAGTTGAAACTTTGTACAAGATGACTTTAATTTTTGGCACATATTGTTGTGTTTATAGTCTATATGTATTTTAACTTTGATGAGAAAATATTCTTTTGCAGGTTTACTCCCAGAAGCAGACATTGAAAGATGTTACGGATTACATTGTAAATGTCATCTGCAAACGTGCAGAACTTGGTTACAATTATGGTGTCATATTGATTCCGGAAGGTTTAATCGATTTTATTCCTGAGGTGCGTCAAAGTCTACTGCGTCCAGATCATTTTATTCACAGCACTTTTCTCTAATCATCTGTAGGTCATGTCTTCATGTGCGTGTGGTTTTCCCCGTTAGCTGACAGTTTCTGTTATTTGCAACTTCTCAGGTCCAGGAGCTGATTGCTGAATTGAATGAAATTCTAGCTCATGAGGTTGTTGATGAAAATGGACTGTGGAAGAAGAAACTGACCGAGCAATCCCTCAAGCTGTTTGAGTTTTTACCTGAGACGATTCAGGAACAGTTGATGCTCGAGAGAGATCCACATGGAAATGTCCAGGTAAATCAATCATCAATCATCAATCATAAACATTTTCCCTCAATATAACTCACACTTAGTCTCTCGTTTTGCATCTCCTTTGTGTCAATAGGTGGCGAAGATAGAGACCGAGAAGATGCTTATTGAAATGGTTGAAACTGAATTAGAGAAGAGAAGGCAAAAGGGTACATACAAAGGGCAATTCATGGGGCAATCCCACTTCTTCGGGTACTTCTCCTTTCCTAGCATTTATGTTATTCTTCCAAAGAAGAAATTAATGATCCATTACTCGGAAAAACGGGAATTTTTTCAGGTACGAAGGAAGGTGCGGTTTGCCTACGAATTTCGATGCCACCTACTGCTATGCCCTTGGTTACGCAGCAGGAGCGCTCCTCCACAGTGGGAAAACTGGTTTAATTTCATCGGTTTGTATACCATCCCCGTCTCGTTTTATACGCTATGAGCAATTTGACTCTTCAGTTAGTTGAAAACACAATCAAACGATAAATCTACGGGAACAGGTCGGGAACTTGGCAGCTCCTGTGGCGGAATGGACCGTCGGTGGCACTGCTCTTACTGCCTTGATGGATGTGGAGAGGAGGCACGGTACGACTTAACCCTTCTCCACCCCCCTCTTACTTTGTATATCCGGGGTGGACATTTTGGTTTTCGGTTTAGTTATTTTCTGGTTCGGGATATCAGTTTTAGAAAAATCAGACATTCGGGTTTTACATCGTATTTGGTTTGATATATTAATGCTAAAAACCCGAGTTGGTTTTGAACCTGGAATTGTAGGTAAGTTCAAGCCCGTGATCAAGAAAGCGATGGTGGAACTCCAAGGTGAGTTTGCTGATACTCTTTTAAAATCTCAGGCATCATACAATGAAAACCCGAAGAGCAAAAGACTAATAGATGGCAAAATCGTATCGAACCCCGCATGCAGGTGCACCGTTCAAGAAATTCGCAGCGGAACGGGAAGAATGGGCATTGAAGAATCGTTACATCAGTCCCGGTACGTTTTTAAACACGACACAATGAGTAACCTTGAGAGAGACTCCAGTCGGCGGTGGTCCTAACCCGTGAAATGTGGTTGGAATGCAGGTCCGATACAGTTCAAGGGCCCTGGCTCAGACGCCATCAACCACACTCTTCTTCTCGAACTCGGAGCTCAGTAATAAAAACCCTTCCTTTTCTACAAATGTGCCCTTTCCTCACCATTGGATTGCTTCACTGCAAAAATAATTCTCTGCCTTTGTTATTTTCGCCGTTTGGTTTTGGCTTTTGTTATGTTTACTTGTATTCTTGAGAAACATCAATATATCAGGATTCAGGAGTCTTGAGCCTTTTTTTTCCGATAAATATCTAAATTGTCAAAGATGATAATAATAATAATAATAATGGCATTAGAAGTGTGCAGAAGATGGTGGTGCGTGTCCGCGGCAAGTTTAGATGTATGCCCTAATGTCGTCTTTCATTTGAAGTAATTATTAATATTCAATATGGAGAAAAATAAGAATATGAACAGATTTGATGTAATGATTGTAAAGTGGGAAATGGGTGTTGGACAATATTTATAATATATGCAAAAAGAAATTCAAACACTGTAAATGTAAGCAATTTAATATAGATATTAGATTGTTTTACAGAGAGGACAAAAGGGAGAATAAAAAAAGAAATAATTGAGCAGTGGAGAGATATGACGTAAAGTGGGGAGAGAGAGAGAGAGAGAGAGAGAGAGAGAGAGAGAGAGGGTAAAAGGTCGTTTATCTCACAGAATCTCAACCTGCAGTGACGTCTCTCACAACATCACCCTTTTCTTCTTTACTCTCTCTCTATCTCCTTTCAACATATAAAACATACATGTATACATGTATCTATATATAATGTTACATGCACATATGGATACCATGCATGTGTATGTATACTATCCATACGGCAGACTCGGCAGAGTAAAACCCTAACCCTAATCTGCCATCTAACCTTAACCCACGAGGAGATGTTTCAGTTTCAGAGTCGAGGCCTCGAAATTCACCTCTAAATGTGGATAATCTCTCAACACGATATTATTTTTGTTTCTGATAATCCAATTATCATCTACTTTGTTCAAGCCAAATTAAAAATAAATAAATGGTGGATCTTGAAATATGTGGCAACGTAGAAGAGTCTGAAAGAACATACAAAGAAATCATTAGTGAGGAGTTTAGGTAAGCATAATTTATATATATATATATATATATATATATTATGATGATGATGATGATGATGATGATGATGATGATAATAATAATAAATGCATGTGTTAGACTGTTAGTTAGTTATTTAACTCTTAAAGTACCGAGTGTTATTTAACTCTTTACGAGTGAAAAGAAAAACGCCGCATGCTTAGTTTGTAATCACTGAGGTCCAACGCATTCACTTTTCATAATTAGCAACATGTAAAGTTGATTTGGTCAATTCATAAACTTTTAAAACTTGACTAGTCAATTAGCTTTCGTGATTAATATAATACATATATCATGTAATTTAATTAACATATTCACCCACAATCTCTCTTACTAATGCGTTATGGAGGTTTTTTTTTTCTATTTTGAATTTTTTGCTAGAAATATTAATTTAATTGCCCATTAAACACATGTTAATTAAATATCACATGATATTGAGATTTGATTTTGCGGGTACGGTGAATCTCTCACAGGAAACCCTATGACCCTACCATGATTTGAGATTCGAAGGTTTTACTATAGCGAATATATATACATCATCATCATTTTTTTCAAGAACCATTACCATGATCATATATAAAATTATGATGCTTTTATTTAATATATATAAAATTATCACCGTACATTTGGTAACCCTTTACAATTAAAACTAAAACGGTCAATACGGAAACAAATTTTAGGAATTATTACATAGCATCAAAGGGGAAGAGAGACAGAATCGGTGACTTGTATCTAACACAACCCATGGACAAGCTAGCTGTCTTCAACAAATTTGTCTCCCTGTTCTTTTGGATTTCATGATTTAAAAATAAAAACAAAAAAGAAGTTATAGGAAGTTGCCGAGATTTTGAAATGATTTTTGAATTAGATTAACTTTCGACACCAGTCAAATTCAAGTGGCACCATAAACATGTCCTTTCAACGTTGGCCACGTAATAAAATGTTTTGCTAACTTTTATTTTGCAGATAATTTGATTTCCCTATATTTTATTAGAACACATATAATTATGGATAAATATTTTTTTTATCTGCTTTATCATTTGATTCCTCTACATTTTTATTAGAACATATACGGAGCGTGCTAGTGGTGTATTTGAACAGGAACCCTAATTTTTGGGGGTCTCATTTTTTAAAAAAAATTATGTTATTTTTAATTTTTAAAAATTGAGTCATAAATTTTTTAATTTTTTTACAATGTTATCATAAAAAATAATTATAAAATTAGTTTTCTATTTTATGATTGAAAAAATATATATTTTTAAAAAAAAGCACAGTACCTGATGTTGCCCATCTGGAAATAGGGTTGCAGTGCGCTGAAGATTTTCACTTGAAGGAACATTGGAATGTTCAAACCTCGGACTGCTAAATCCAAATTCCTTCAGGGAATTTGGAGACCCTATTTCAGACCTGAAAGGATCTCCTCCGCTAGAAAGGGAGAAATCTGAAGCCCTTGGAGCAGAGCCCTCATTTGCAAACTGGTCTTCAAACATATGATCACGAAAGCTTCCGGGGCTGAATGCAAAACTAGAGGCTTTAGAATGAAGGTTTCTTTCTGAAGCAGACTTGCTGTTGAGTCCTAACGGTTGTTTTCCATAGCGACGTTCTTCATACTGATAATCGTAAGGAGGGCTTTGGGAGTAGGAATGATATGACTCGGGACAAAAAATATAAAATTTTAAGAAATCTCAATATGTATATATATATATTAAAATTGATTAAAAAAATAAAAAAATATATAGATATATAGATATATAGTATTTGCCCGGAGCTTCTGTCAACAATGAGACGGTCCTGAACATGTAATATATATATATAACCAAAAATGATGTCACGCATAGAACTATTCCTTCAATCTTGTAATTGGAAATATTATTTCTTTGCAGGAATGGATCTTTGAAATGCCAGGTGAAGAAACTGTCAGAGAGGTTAGTGTAATAACCGAATCATTTTGATATTCAATAAAAGATTTGAAGCGAAGCATTTCATAAGTAGACAGCAATGTTCTCTTGTGAAAAATTGTCCTTATTATAATGATCGCACATAAATCCCCATCAACACGTTCTTTCCATCATGGGCATCACGGCATTGTATACTTCCTATAAAAAAAAAGTTTTTTTTTGGTTTTAGTCCTATAAAAAAGGTTACTGTCCTGCATATATACATCCATATATATATATATATGCATGTGTATATATATATGTATATGTAAGTAAATACAGGTTAGATAGAAGTCTTGATCTATATTGAACGCAAGCACTGTTTTATAATAATCTCGAGTTGTTTACATTTGTCATAAAAGCTTGTGTTTCTTGCGTTAGAGTTTTAGTGTTGGATATTAGTTTTATGTGTTGGGCATTTAGATAATAAAAAAAGAATCAGATTCTCGATTGGATAAAAGGAAAAATATATATATTTTTCTGCTTTAATTGGAGCTATTTTTCCATGGGAATACATGAAATTAGCCCTACTGTTGAGTTGTAGGGTCTTTAGTTGTAATAACCAGCTTTTTAATAATTGCTGATTAGGTGCTCTGGCTTGAACTATTTTTGTACTTGTCAGATAATGTCTATGTGAACATTCAAGTTCCACTGCACAAAGCTTGTCCAAGAACCCTTCATCTTCGTATTAAAGATGTTGTTATTGGTTAATTTTAAAGTTGAAAAACAATTTATTTTAAAAAAATGTTTTGCGCCGTGACTAAATTGATATCCTAGCAGTAACTGATACGACGAAATGTGGTGGATTAAACAGAAATTAGGATATAACAGTTCCTAATCAAAATAAGCGATTGATTTTAACACATCTATATTCATATCTACATGTATAATATATGCTATAATGGATTAATCAGTATGCCATAATCATAAGATATGGCAATTTAATTAAGAAACATCTTTTTTTTCCTCAATAAAAATGGCCATGTTCAAGTAAACATAACTAATTAAGCTATAAACTATTAAGAGATACTAAGAAGATTGAAGACAAAAAAATGTTGCGATACAAATACACGGTATTATGGTGTAATACGATAACAATGTCGGCGGTGCAAAATGCGCGATGGTTTAGTGGTTATTGTGGAAAAAGAAAATAAATTGCGCAAATGCACGCGGCTAAAGCCGAAAAAAGGAAAAAAAATATGACACAAATACACAAATCGACGATTAGAGTTTTACAATCGAAAAGATTAAAAACCGGATTTAGAAAAGATCTAATTATTCAACATATAACATTATAATATTTATAGGTAAAAAATAAAATTATATAATATTAATATTTTATTTAGTTAATATAAATATCTAAAATATAGAAATGATATCAAATCTAAATATTACATAATATTATGTAATCTTCTTGAATTTTTTCCTTATCTCTTAATATAAACAATTTATTACTTCTAATTTAATTTGGGTATATTTTATTGTTGTTTATTTTCGATTCTATTTTTTTTTGTTTAAAAGAACTCAAATTCTATTTTTAGTTAATAACAAAAATATTTATTCTAAAATCCAATTAATTACTATCAAATTTTAGAAGTCTCGTAACAACCATACCAAGAGGTGAATAATCTTAGACTGTTCATCTATAAAAACCCTAAATCACAGATGAAGGTTACGCATAAATCCAAAATTACTTTTGAGTAATGATGTCTTTTCATTCTTTTATGCACAATCTCTTTCTCCTTTTCGTATTTTTGTCCTTTTCTCGAGGCAAATTATGATAGTCGTCAAATATAATAAATAAGCAAACATACAACAATTTAAATTATATTATATTCATGCTCATGGAGCATCTATAATGCAAAGATATATATCACGATATAAACTTTTATTTCTATCCACCACTATACGCGCGCGTGTGTGTATATATATATGCGCATCACTACTATTCGATGAACATTGTCTCTCCCATTCAATGGACATTCCTTAACCACACATATATGTATATATATACTATATATCATATGCATTTATTGGCCGAATCAATAAATAAATGATTTTTGGCAACGTGATTTGATGGCTTCCTTGTAATCTCTCTCTCTCTCTCTCTCATTGATTTCTCAGTTATCTTTTCCTTGCCAGAAATCGCAGTGAAGGCAGTGGCAGTGCAAAGAAGAAAAAACAGGGAGAGAAGTTTTTTCTTTCATGGGGAAAGCAAAACTTTGCCTTGAAGACTTCCTCTTCCTTTTTTTTTCTCCCTCTCCCTTTGATATGAACAAATCGCTGTCCTTAACCTAAAAAGCAAGAACAAAAGCTTATATACAATTCCTCAGTCTTGGCATAAAGAGAAAAATAAATAAGCCCATTACATAATATATATATATATATATATATATATACCATGTACTCTAAATTCTCAATTTAGTTTTTGAATAGACAAAGGTCTAGATCGATGTTGTCATGGGCTCATGGGCATTGTCTCAATGCATCCTAAAATAATATTACATCATAGTAGACTACAACCTAATCGATGGAGTGGACTTTTCCTCGTTGCTTGTATGTTGTTCATTCACATAATATTTTACACAAAAATATTATTATTAGGTTTATTTACCAACTATCAAAATGAATGAGCTTACATGTGATAATTATGGTGTCATAATTAAGGTGTATATATATATATATCATCTGAATATGAAATCGTCTCGAAGACTAAATCTTCATATCATTCGAGAGAAAACAAGAAGTGGAAATCAGGGTAGCAACAAAACAAGATCAGAATTCAGAAAGGGAAATAGTGAGGAATTAATTAAGGAAGATTTAATGCATGTGGTGAAAGACACACAAGGAAGAACACAAACCCCCATGTCCAAAAAAGACAGAAATGAAACACCAGAGACTTTAGAAGAGTTAAGAACTCACAGATCACACAATCACTGGCTCTGTATGTTTTTTCTCTTTTTTTTCTTTCTACTTTTTAATTTTTTTCTAACAATTTTATTTTATTTTTCTGGCTTCTTCTGCTGTTTCCCTCTCTCCCATAACTCACTATTTAGGATTTCCCTGTGAAAAAGGGAAGGGGCCTGATTGTTGTGGCATAAATCCCGGGAGACCACTTTAATGTAATGCAAGTAATTATATGATCATACATATACATATACATATAGAAATAGAGTGTGTGTGTATATATATCTTTAGGGTTCCCCAAGATTTGTTTTGTATTTTATTTACGTCAAAAGCGATAATTAAATGCTTCATTAATATTGGCATACTAGCGTTTATATAACAACACCGAGGTAAATATTATAGAGAGAGAGAGAGAGACTGGTGGAGTGGTTCCAACAGCATTTCTTGTCTGATGGCTTTTGTTGGGGATAATGGTAATGGTCCGATGTGTCATGTATATGACCATGATGATGATGTCCATCATGACATCATCACATGACCATAATCATCATCATGGCCATCATGAATACGGTATCTAATATACATATCAGTCACACCAAAGACCAAAGGGGTGCCTTTCTTCAATCACCACCTCTTCCTCCACAAACAGTGTGGCCCCCAAAACATAGAGCATAATATTTACAAGAACATAAAAAATAACACTAAGAAAGTGAGCCTGCCTCCTTGTTCTTCTCTCTCTTTCGCTTCCCTCATGGAGATCCATCAAAACGACGCCGCTGGAGGAGGAATCAACCCTTGTTCTTCGTCTTCATCTTCTGCTTCTGTCAAGGCCAAGATCATGGCTCATCCTCACTATCATCGCCTCTTGGCTGCTTATGTTAATTGTCAGAAGGTGAGGAGAATTCATACAAAAAAAAAAACCTTGACAAGAAAGTGAGGGAATTCAAGAAAGGAAGCAAGATCTTGCAAAACAATTGCTTATATAAAAGATCTCGAGAAAGAAGTGCTCTTCGTTTAAATTTCTCGAAAATTTTAAGCCAATCAAAGGAGATGCTGAAAACCCTTGCAATAAAAGATTTACCTTTTTTTATTTTCTTGAAAAAGACCCATTCTTTTCGTTTCTGATTTGGCTTCGAGGTCGTGTTCAAATGATCTGTCTTGTTTATTAGTTTCTTGATTTAGGAAGATTAAAAAAAAAAGGGAAACAAATTCTCTTTCACATGAGAGTTTGGAGCGTAGAACCCTTTTTCCAAGAGATCAGTCTTGTATTATTGTATGTGGACACGAAGATAAGGACATTTAGTTTGACCTTCCAAGATCATTGTTTCCTTGTGTCTCTCTGTGTACATATATGAGAAGAAATTGACGATCTTTCCCCATGGATATCTTAAAAAGGTGGGAGCTCCGCCGGCGGCGGCGGCGAGGCTGGAGGAGGCGTGCGCCGCGGCGGCGGCGGCGACGATGGGCCCCACAGGTTGCTTAGGCGAAGATCCGGCGCTTGATCAGTTCATGGAGGCCTATTGCGAGATGCTCATTAAATACGAACAAGAACTTTCTAAACCCTTCAAGGAAGCCATGCTTTTCCTCCAACGCGTCGAGTGCCAATTCAAATCTCTCTCTCTCTCCTCTTCTTCGTCTCTCTCTGGTTCTCTCTCTCTCTCTCCTTGAAGAAAGGTTTTTCTTTTGGTGCTATATGTGTTGTTCTGTGCATTGAGAAGTGAGAATGATGATCAAGCCCATGCATTTTTTTTGGGTTTCCGAGTTTCCAGTGACGTTAATCAACGTAGATTCATCTGAAAAGTCGAGGTTTTTTTTTTCTTGTGGGTTTTGAAAAAGTTTATCCTTTTTTCCCAATTTTTCGTGAGGAAATGAATAATGAACATGTTTGCCTTTGATCTATGAATTCTAGGGTTGGGCTCAGCTACGCCTCTGAGCTTGTTCATCTACATATCTAGGGTTACGTATGCAAACATATATATACGAATGTACGTATAGGTGTCTATCGAGTTTCTTTGTTTGATTCCTTTATTTTCTTGTTCTTTTTTTTTTAAATTTTTATTTTGGGTTTCTTCTAGCTCTATCTGTGCTCAATATCTTCTGGCCCGGGGGTTTGCGAATCTCTTCCGCTGATTTGTTTCATTGTATCCATGCTCAGGCGCATACGTAAAAAATATATTTGTATGCATGTATATGTAGGATTATATGTATGCATGTAGGAATGCACATGTCTACATGCCATGCTCGCATTCTTTCGTCTTAAAATGCTAATTCAATGTTAACTCTCCCCCTTCATTCAATTTCTTGATTTGACACACGCTGGTATTTGAAGTGCTTCAAGTCTCATATGTTATTTCGCATCTTTTTGTTCTCCCGATGCCGTAAATTTAGATTAATTTCTTCCATATATGGTTCGCTTACTGGTCGGTGAAGATCATATCTACATGCATATATTACTCATGTACAATATATAATGTATGGTACTTGCACATATGCAACAGCATGATGAGATGGTCACTAGAATGACCCGTGTCTTAAAATCAGTTCAAGAACTCTAAGGCATGTTTGTAATTGCAAGATGTCAACATATATAAGTAATGTTTCATTGAACAGGTTGTGGTGAGGGAAGTGCTGAAGAGGAGGTGGACATGAATAACGATTTCATAGACGCGCAGGCTGAGGATAGGGAGCTGAAGGGTCAGCTCTTGAGAAAGTACAGTGGTTACTTAGGAAGCCTTAAGCAAGAGTTCATGAAGAAGAGGAAGAAAGGGAAACTCCCCCGAGAAGCTCGCCAACAGTTGCTCGATTGGTGGAACCGACACTACAAATGGCCTTACCCTTCGGTAACCTTTTACTTTCAACCTCATGGTCTACCCCATGCATTCATGCTCCCATGCCATCATCACATATAGCTTATGTATATTTATGTATGTATGTATGTAGCATGCTCTTGTATAATATGGATGGAATTGAAACTAGCCAAATGTTGGGTCAAGGTAAGAATTTTGGGTCTCGTTTTTTTTTTTTGCTTTCGCAATCCCACGCATTGTACATTCATCATCGGTTCATTGGCTTTTTAACATTATTCATAGATCTATCAATAAATCACATAGACATGGTTAATCTATGTATATATGTATATATATATTGATTAGTTTAAGATGACAAAGAACTTCAGCTCTTATGTCCTGCTCGAGTGCATATAGTCCATCTTAAATTTGTCATCTAGGTCAGCTTATAAGGTCAGCTAATTCAATCATGATTTGTTGTAGAAAATGACTTTCCTAGGGTTCAAAAACGGGCATCCCTCGTATTTCGATTTTCCATCGCATTGCAAGTGTTATTGTTGAGACATATACGGGGTGTCTGTGTGTATATGTATGTATTGCAAAAAGCCTAACCCGGAGCTGGTGTTTGGTATGGCAGGAGCAGCAGAAGCTGGCACTGGCCGAGTCGACGGGTTTGGACCAGAAGCAGATAAACAATTGGTTCATAAACCAGAGGAAACGCCATTGGAAGCCGTCAGAGGACATGCAGTTCGTGGTCATGGATGCATCTCATTCACATCACTACTACATGGACAACGTCTTGGGAAACCCTTTCCCCATGGACATCCCTCCCTCCATGCTCTGATCCCATCATCATCGCCATCATCATCATCATCATCATCATCATCAGCTTTTTATCTATATGTCCTTTATATGTATACTTTAAAAATCATATTTATGATTGAAAATGCCAAGTTGTTACTAAATTGGTTTTCCAAGTGTTTTGGGTTTGATTAACCGAGGGTGGCTCGGAGAGTTTGTGGCTTTGTTACAGTTATAATATTGAATTATTATATGACCCGAGGGACGAAGTTATGTACGTTCTGTGCCAGTGTTATGCGTGAGATTAATTTGTTATATATACACATAAACTCACCCCTTAACAGTTACACGACTGTACAAAATTTACGGCTTGTTTTTACTGGTACGTAAATATTTTAAATCATGTTACCAAGATTGAAACTCACTAATCACAGATTCACAAAGTGGTAATTTCGAGAAGTATTTTTTTTACTCATGATGACTCGTTTTGGAGTTTCATATGAAACGAAAACATCAATGGAATGGAGAAAACATGAAGAAATTTCGTTTTAGTTTATGATAATAAAAACATAGATAATTAAGATCATGTTTATTATTGAAATTATAATAAATTATTTTATGATTCTTTTTAAGTGTCGTAATTTTGGTGCTTATGTCACTAAAGAGGAATTGATCGTACATCTTATATCAATTAAATAGCCATATTTTTGGCAAATTATTAGGTAAATATCAATTCAATGTCGGGTGTCCATTTTCTTTTTGGATTTATTCCTCAGCTGGTCATTTTCGTTTTTTCTAATTACATTTAAAATAATAAAAATGAAATAAAACAATTTCTTAGAAGAAAAGTATCTTCATAAGAATCAAATTTAAATATAGAAACCGAACATAAAATTAATATAAAAGTTAAATATAGAATCTACAAAACAAAAAAAAACTTTTTTTCACATTATACCAAAAAAAAAACTTATTAATAACCTAAACGTACGAATAAAATTTTGAAAACCCAGAAATAATTTCAGAATGAGTTAATAATACCCTTTTATTGGGCCAACGTGGAACCGCAATTAGGCCACACGACAAGTTGACACGTGGAAGATTCTGATTCGTCTGAGATAAACAACCCCCAAGATCAAATCTAAGCATACTTAAACGTTTAATAATCCCAGAAAAAAGGACTACCAAATTAAATAAACCTGATTAAGATGATACATCCCAATAATTAAATTAATCAATCTTGTTCTCCCACAGGGATGACTCTAAATAAAATCATTAACTCTGTTTCAATACCTCACAGAGATTCGCTAGACTTCTCCTCCTTCAGACCATGACTTCTTAGGGCGTTTCTTTCTGTTGTTTTATCCGTCTTGTCGGAGAATCGGAGCTTCCAATCTTCATATAAATAAAGCTTACATTTTTGGGAAATTCCAAAACCCTAAGAGCTTCGATGGCTAAAACAAGACCTGGGGTCAGTACTAGCTCCAAGAGCGGACCAGGGAGGAAGGAGCTCGATTCTTACATCATTAGAGGCACCAACAAAGTCGTACGAGGTAGTAAATTTGCAATACTTTGTTGTATCGATGAATTTCGAGATGTTTGGTGACTGGAATGTGTTGGGTTTTTCATTTTGGGCTCGCAATGCCCGCGTTTAATTGGGATTAGGGTTTATCAGTGTCGCTGGATTTCCATAGTTCCGGAAGATCGGAAATTTGATCAAAGGCAATAACTTTCAGTTTTTCTGGTGGTTTATTCATGGAAAAGGACAGTTTTTTCTCTTGGGTTTTCTCAAAAATGCATCTTGATCGATTTTCGCAGCTGGGGATTGCGTTCTGATGCGTCCATCAGACGCTGGTAAGCCTCCATACGTGGCCCGTGTTGAGAAAATCGAATCTGATGCTCGTAAAAATGTTAAGGTTCATGTAAGATGGTATTATCGGCCGGAGGAATCTCTAGGAGGTCGGAGACAGTTCCATGGAGCCAAGGAATTGTTCTTGTCGGATCACTGTGATGTGCAAAGTGCCCATACCATTGAAGGGAAATGCATTGTTCACACATTCAAGAACTATACAAAGCTCGAGAATGTTGGGGCTGAGGATTACTATTGTAGGTTCGAGTATAAGGCTGCCACCGGTGCTTTTACTCCAGACCGAGTTGCCGTGTGAGTATCTTTATGAATCGGTGATTCAATGTGGATTTCCTTAACGAGTTTCTGGTTCTTATACTTGATTGTGTTTTAAAAGGTACTGTAAATGCGAGATGCCGTACAATCCAGATGACCTCATGGTGCAATGCGAGGGTTGCAAGGACTGGTAATGGCTCTGCTATTTTTACTTTTTGCAGTAGTTTTGCTTTGACAACGAGCTAGTTATCACCGAAGAAAACTTATAAGATTGACAATGTACCTTTTCAAGAGCGTGGAAGAGCAAATGGAAATCTGTGATGAAGGTTGTTTGGCTTAGAAGTCATTAACAAAGTGTCCAAACATTGACAACCTTAAGCTTATTTATGCTCTTTTAATGATAGATTATAGTCTCTTGTTATGGGTTATTTGAAAGGAAAGTAGTTCCTCATTATCTAGAGGCTGTAGGCTGTAGCCAAACCAAACCAAATCCATTTATATCAAATATTATCTTCAATTGTTGCTCTTATAACAAAACTGAATTGCTACTTCTGTGGCAGATCACAAATCATTCAGAAGGTGGCTCGAGAAAAGTTCAATGTTTAACTAGTGTTAATCTAAAATGTTGAAATATCTTCTCTTGAATTGTGCTGTACTTGTATTGATTCTGGTTATGCAGCCTACTACTAGTATTGCCCTTTGTAGGTATCACCCGGTCTGTGTTGGAACGACCATAGAGGAAGCCAAGAAGTTGGATCACTTTATGTGTTCTGAATGTGACGCCGCTGGTGGTGGTGATGAATATGGCAAGAGATCACAGAACGGATTCGCGTCATCACCAACAGATGATGTCAAAGTAAGATTCATGACCACGACCACATTGCTATAGAAATTTGTAGTTATGTCTTATTTGTTTCTTGGCCGGTTCAAGGCCTGAAATTCAAGTAGTCATTTGTCGGAGATTTAAAATCGGAACAGTAATATTTGTTTTTAATACTAAACCCCGAATTTAGTGGATTTTCAGAGATTTGAGAAATAGAATAGAAGTGACTTTGGATCTCACCTCATGCAAAGGGTCCGAGTCATTACAAACCCGAAAGGGAAATCTTTATTCTGCTTCTGCATCTTTGAGTTTCGAATATAAAGCATCAGACTTTCTCAAAAGATATGGATATGGTATGCGCGGTTCTTCTTCTACATCTAAATAAAGCATGGAAATTTGAGCTGTCTTGATTGTTCATCTGTGCTTATTTTCCTTCTTTTGTTCTTTCTTGTTCTTTTTACAAATATCTGAAACCATAGGCATTGTATTTCGAGGGAGTGATACAGCGTTCATACTTATATATATATACTTATGCTCGATTCCTAGTGCATAGGATGGAAAACTATCAAATTTCAGCCGGTTTTCCAAAATCATGGGACATAGTTCGTGTGACACACTTGTGATATTTGATCCATCTTCTATCCTCCCATGCCGGCTCTTAGTCCTTTTGCTTCTGCATTTCAGGTGGAGCCAAAACGCCGGAAAAGATAGAGCAACGTTCTTCCGAGGAAGATGAAGAAGAAGAGGGAAGTTTTGTTGTTGGGTAATGCGAGTCAGATCGTTCTTCATCTATTACCTGTAGAATTTTGATTCTGCCCATTGGAAGAACGAAAAAGAGGAGGAAAAGGGGAAATGGCTGTTTGTGTTCTGTACAGAGACCGGTCATCGTCTGTGATCTATGATGTTTCTTCCTTCTATTGACAGAACCAAAAGATTCTGGTTTTGTCATTGGGGAAACTCAGTAATATCATGTGTAGATGTGAATAACAGGTTTTGCCGATGGTTTTAACCAGATAACGAATGTTTAATCATGGTTAAAATTTACAGAAACGAGAATCAACGGTTGCACATGCATTCTTTACATCTCGGGTAACGGTAAACGCTTCGACCCTTTGGTCTGGCCAAGACATGTTTGGTTTGCCTGATCGCTTTCCTCACCCTTTGCTCCAACACTTTCCACTCGATCGTGTTGTTCTTCATGAATATGTCCGAAAGTCTCCTATTGTTCGGTCGGATAGTCGGCATCCTTCCTCCCCCGTAGTATATTCGGTAACCCGACACGAGAGACGACAGCTGGCTCCCCGAGTCTGTCATCGCAAACGCGTCCGCTGCTGCACATGCGATGAAATCCAGCGCCGCTAGCTACAAATGTGTAGAATTCCATCACTTGCGTACAGATCTCTCGGGTAGATTCCTTTCGAAAAGTGTGTTACGTATCGTTTTTTTTTTTACCTGAGATGTGGAGTTGATGAAGGGTTCGAGTTCGCTCGGGGAGAGTAGATTCTCTTTGGTGACCAGGTTAGGGTACAAGCTCGTTAAAGCGGGTATCCGTTTCGCCCCTCCGTATATGTTTGCCCCTGCGATGAAAACACGAGTCTTGCGGTTGAACCCGAGGGCAGCAAGCTCGAGGACCGCTTCTTCCGGTGTTAACGGGCAAAGCCCTTCTGACCTCAACTCTTCAGGAGAAGGCAATCTGAAAAAAGAAGGCATTGTCATTCCGACAAAGCACCGTAAACTGAATAAGTGAACCGATCCGAACCTTAACACATAATCACAAACGAACTAAATCTGATATAAAAACTAAATGGTTATGATTGTTCTAAAACCGAAGAAAACAAACCTAAACCGAATAAAAAAATAACAAAAAACCCAAAAAATTCTTTGAAAAAAATATTACTTTCTTCAACCCGAAACCGAATCGAATTCGGTTATAGTTTTTCTAAAACTGAAATAACTAAATCGAAGTGTGAAACCCGAATCGGTCACCCTAATAAAAAAGTAATAAGCAACAAGCAATGGAGAACGAAAGGGAAGATAGATAACGGACTTCTTCGTCTTTGATAAAGCAGCCAAAGACGGGAAGTGTTTCTCGCGGTAAGCTTCCAACTCTTTCTGCTCTGTTTCGCCACCGCCAAAGTAACAGAGAGAATGAGCCACCATGTCGATTTCAAACCTCAAATGGAGAGCAAGGTATTTAGAAGCCTTTCGGGCAGGACCCGACTTCTTGTCCAAAATCGAGGAAGCATATTTCGGACCGACAAGGTAAGGGTCTACCGGCGCGAGGTAGGATCCGTTGTCACGTAATCTCCTTACTATCGATGCACCCGTTTCTTGTATCTTAGGCACGAAATTCAGTGCATGAAAATTGCATCGGCATCTAAGCCTCTAAGACGGAAAGGTGCCATTGTTAGGAAACCACAACACAAAGAAACAGAACAAGAAACAAGAACAAGAGATGGAAGATTCTGACAAGAGATGTACCTGTAACTCGAACGGTATCGGGTCAAAGGCTAAGCGATTACTGAATCCAACGAAATGGACAACTCTGTTCTTGAGAAGAAGAGGGAGTATGTGTTTCAGATAAAAACTCGGCTTGGCCTCTTTCATGATATCTGCATCCGTTACCTTTAGATATAAAAAAAAAGGATACGAAAATAAATAGACATGAGGAAAGCGTAAGCATTTAGGACTGGAAGAAATTATGCGAAGAAAGAAACTCACAACGCTGCCGATAGCTTCGAGATCTAATGAACGGAGCTCCTTTGGTAGTTCCTTTACTATGCGGATATCGGGAGAAAGGTACTTAAGAAAGTGTTCCTCTTGATATATATCTCCAAACTGGCTATGAATATTAAGAGTGTAAAATTGTTTACAGATTCTTAAAAAAAATAAATGTTATCCATAGATGCAACTCTTTAAAGCATATATATGTGAGAGAGAAAGGGAAGGGCATCTCAAAAAAGAAAAAAATTACCTTGCATCTGTCCAGACATCACTGAACATAAACTTGGGAATGACAAGGGTTGCATTAAGTAACCGGGCGACGACAACGATGTTGCATACCTGTTTTCCCCGGTGAAACATGACATTTAGGCAATAGGGAATTCCGGGCATTGTATATAGTTACAAGAATAAGGAGGAAACATCATAGCAATTTTGTCTTACAGCTACTCTTTGTTGAGTGATCCCTCCATTCGCAGTTACCATTATATACCCGTTTTTCCCATCTAAGAACCACAGAAAGAAACACCGAATCAGAACATATACCATCCGAAACAGCTCCAGAGAGAGAGAGAGAGACCATCAGGTGCCCAAGACCGTTGATCAGAGCATGGCTTCCAAGCAGTGGCTTGTTCTTTCGGCTCTCGCCATAATTCTTTTGGCTCAAGTTTATTCTGGCCCTACCAAATACAATAATACCGACACAGAAACATGTGATCTTACGACTTGCAGATGAATGGTACAAGACAAAGAAGGACCGACCAGTACCTCGGCCAAAGCATGAGCAGCCAAAGCCAACATTCTTCCGTAGGTTCCATCGTATTTCCTCTTCAGTTTCCCCGACCTTTTGTGCTCGCCGCTCTACCGCACACAGAAACAAGTTTAGGCTGATAGAATTCAACATCCACCCATGCAGAAGAAGTATCTCAACTAGTTCGATGAAGTTCAAAGTAACCAGACTTTGTTTTGCTCTCGGGCAATTCCTAGAATGTCCAAAAACGGTATAACTTTACCAACTAGATTTGGATTAAAGGCTATCAAGTTTGAATTCAGATCAAGACCCAGTTTGTAATAAATAGATGACAAGCAACCATTACAAAATAGATCAGAAATGGAAAGTTAGCTATTCTACTGCAGACCAAAAAACAAAAACAAAACACAATCCCAACTGAAGCATTTACATTTGGATCTTTAGTTAACAGGTTCAATGATTCTTTCAGCCAGACACAGTTACAGTCTATAGGCAGTAAGTTTGAGAAAAAGTTCAGATTTTTTTTGGTACCTGCTGAA